GAGGGGGGTGGGACGGTAGGGGGGGGTTAGGTTGGATCTGAGGGAGGAATTCTGGGCTGTGAGGGTGGTGAGAGCCTGGCCCGGGTTGCCCAGAGGAGCTGTGGCTGCCCCATCCCTGGCAGTGTTGAAGGGCAGGTTGGATGGGGCTTGGAGCAGCCTGGGCTGGTGGGAGGTGTCCCTGCCTATGCAGGGGGGTTGGGACTGGATGGTCTTTAAGGTCCCTCCCAACCCAAACCGATCTGGGACTCTGATTAGAGCTCTTTTCTAATACCCTGACATGTAACAATGCTTCAATATTTGATTTTTACATACTCAACTTCTTCTCTTGCTTGAAACAGCTCTGTAACAAACACATTTAGCCAATTTGATTGATTTTAAGCTTCAGCTCATTTTTTTTAATACCTTCTTTGTTTTTTCCCTTCACTGCCTCTGGTACACTCACTTCTCTTCAAGAGGCATTGTCTGCTGGCAGCTTCTTCTGTTGTCAGTTTTAAATTCCCAATAGCTGACATTCCTTTTATGTTTAAAACTTCATTTTGTCAGTGTAGAAATTTTAAAAGGTGTTCCTGACCTGTGCTGTGACCACGTGTCTGTGTCTTACAACACATTTGATAGAAGCAGGGCACTTGCATCCCTTGGGAGACAGCTTTGAGAAGCACAGGTATCATTCTTGTCCCTGATGGGCACAAATGGTGGATTTGCCCATCTCTGAGATGCAGGAGGATATTAAACTCATTAACTCAGGATATGAAAGTTCATCCAAAGCTCAAGTATCACAGCTGTTTTTTGAGGGGCTGGTATTTGTATCCAGAAAGTAATTCTGGGACTGAAGTGCAAGTGCAGCTTTGGCCAGTAGGAGTATCTTTGTTTGGATCAAGGTCTTTGTGTTGTGGAATTGCAGGCCCCAAATAATGACACGTTGGGTCAACAACCAGGAACAGTTGAGTCAACAGTGAAGGGAGAAGATGTCTTGGCACTGTCACCAGTGGTGTGTGGTGCTCTGGGGAAGGGACAGGGGGTTCCTGCTGTGTGCCACGTGTTTGTCCTGAGAGCAGAGCTAGGAACTGAACTCCTGTGTCATCATCTCACCTTTCATTCTTATCTTAGTAAGTTATAACTATATTCCCAGTAAGACCAGTCTGTTGGCTGATGCCTTTTAGTGTAGTCAGCCAACATCACCAATTCCAAGTGACTTGAAAAATAGTCAATATTGAGTTTTGATCCTGGGAATACAGGATTTTACTCTTGGAGGTGACTTTCCTTGTGGTAAAATATGAAACCTCCAGTGATTGTTGGTCTGAATGGGAATTTTCCCCTTAAGATACCGGTTAATTCTTGGCTTGTTTATGTCTCCTGACAGATGAAACAGAATTCAGAAACTTTATTGTTTGGCTTGAAGACCAGAAAATCAGACACTACAAGATTGAAGACCGAGGGAATTTAAGGAACATACACAGTGATGACTGGCCCAAGTCATTTGAAAAGGTACCTTCTTGTTTCAAGGCCTATTTGGAATCAGAAAGCTGTATTATGTAAAAATTACAGTTAAGAGCTGCTGCAGTTGTTGAATGTAAATGAATATTTGTCCTGCCTTTGAATTTTTACATTTTTAGGAATTTAAATGTGTTATTGAAGCCAAACTATAGGGGTTATTAAGATGACAGGACTTCTTTGCACACAATTTTCCCCTCAGCTGTGGTTTTGCAATCCATCCTAATTTGTTGCTTTGCCTGATTTGATTCAGCTCTTGAAGGAGGAAGGAAATTGGCTACAAATAAACAGCTTTTTCTGCATTAGTGATTCTAATGTACCAAAAGGCAAACAGATTAGGTTAATGCACTTGTAGGCTTTGTGAGCATGTGGAAGAGACACTGCAGCTCATCTCTGCACCTCCTGTTATTCCAGAGCTGTTTTCCCATGGTTGCAGCAAGGCATGGAAAGCAGCCATTGCTCTGTCAGTGATCTCCTGTGTGTTCATGAGCTTTCTGAGTCACCACAGGGCTGTTGAGCTTTTCCTCTTGGTTCCCATTTCCTTTCCAGACATCCCTGTGAAGGGCTGGAAATGCTGCTTTGTAATGCTCGGTGTCTGTTCACCTTTTCCCCCCTGGCACCTCTGGCTTTGCTCTCTGCCCAGGAGCTGCAGTGCTGATGCTTTCTGGGGGGAGCCTAAATCACTCTTACAAAATCTCTGGCTGTTGTGGTATCTTTCTTGGCTTGGCCAGACTGTCCTGGGTCCCTGCCCTGGGAGTCCTGCCTCCTTATGCTCTCCAGCCCCTGGAGCCCTGTCCCTCCAGTGCTGGTGCTGCTGGAGCAGAGGCTGTGTGGCACTTCTCCCCCTCCAGCAGCACCTCACTGTACCCTAATCTTTGGCACTCTTGGCAGCAGGTTGAGCTGGGGGTTGTGTTCTGCCTTCAGAAGAGCAGAGATGGTGTCCCAGCCATGTTTTGTCCTTGCCCACTGTCCCTAAGAAAGGGAACATGACTTCTGCTGCCCCTCAGAATCCTCTGCTCTCAGTACTGGGAAAGCCTTTGATGGCACCATTCCTCCTTCCTGCTCTAGCTGGGAAGTTTTTGCTGTCATTTGTTCTCTGTCCTTTCCCTTGCCTCACTTAATATGTAAGACAAACAGAGCGAAGGAAGGGCTGGTTTGGTTTCCCTGTTTGCAGGCTGACCATGAATAAGTTGTGGCTGCCCCATGCCTGGCAGTGTTGAAGGGCAGGCTGGATGGGGCTTGGAGCAACCTGGGCTGGTGGGAGGTGTCCCTGCCCATGCAGGGGGGTTGGACTGGATGGTTTTTAATGTCCCTTCTAACCCCAACCAGTCTGGGATTCCATGATAAATATTATTCATAATATGGATGAAAAAGCAGATGCCATTACTAAATGGCAGATGGTGGATTGGAGCTCTCTAAAATGTCCCAGATGGATCAGATGCCACAGCAGGACATTTCAGAGGGATGTTCCTTGTGAGGAACCATCTCCTAACGACTCTAAAGTTTGTGGGAAAGTTACTGTTTACAGAAGGGGTCTGTGCTCCTGGCTGATTGGTGCAGGTCAACATCTGTGTGTTTTCTCCTCTCCCTGCAGTACATGAAGGATGTAAATTGTCCTTTCAAAATCCAAGAAAGACAAGAAACAGTGGATTGGCTTCTGGGCTTGGCAGTGAGGCTGGAGTATGGAGACAACGGTAGGAGTGAGTTTAGTACTTCAGAACAACAGGGAAACGTGGCTTGATTTCATGTTACGAAGTGTCTGACCAACTCAGACAATGCCTAAAGCACACACATTGTTTCCTTTCATTCCATCTCCTTGGTTTAGCAGCATGTTGGGATGTGAACTGTTCCTCTGCAGCACAGCTCCCATGGGACAGTGCAGCAGCATAGTTGCATTTATTACTTTATTTCTGGATATAGCAAAGCCCTTCTTATACCCTTCTCCCTCTGGGATTGCCTTTATGAGAACTTACCCTAAAGTGTATTAACTGCATTTCCTTTAGAGCTACATTTATTCAAAGAAGTTATTCTTAGACCCTTGTTTCACAGGGATTAGATCCTGAACCCTTGGGAACTGGGGCAAGGTTATGGAAAAAGTGGAGTTAAATCACCACAGTCAGCAGCAGTTTCTTCTCCTTGGAGTAAGGCTGTACATACAAATGTAATTACTGGTGGAAAACATCATGATAGCTCAAGTATGGTTTTCCATTACCTTTAATTCCTGCAGGGCTGAGCTCTAGATGGGATATAAATACTTGGAATCTGTAGAGCTGGTTCTCTGTCCCTCATGGTGGAGGAAGCAAACTGCTTGTGACTCAGGGTTATGTGGGGGTGCAGGATCCAGGAGGCCCCATCCTCAAAAAGCTTGAGAAGCCCCTCTGGGGCAGGTAGATGGGTGCTGCAGTCTATAAAACAAAGCCTTCACTGGGGATGTTTTACTCTCTGAGCAGAACCAATGTCAGCCTGTAGTTCTGGAGCCCAGGCTGAGACAGAGACAGTGATGGCTGAGCAGGGGGGTTGTGAAAGTGCTGGAGCTGCAAGGTGCAGCTTCTTCAGCCTTCTGGGAGTGGGAAGACTGCAGGAAGAGCCTCCATGGAGGGCATAGTGCCCTACATAAGCCTGGAGCATGTTCTGATGCTGCTCTGGGGTAGCACATGAGCTCTCTACAGAGGGGAGCTTTAGGGTAGCTCCCTGGAATGGTCACCTTTGGAGACCATAGTCAGGAGCTCCAGAACATCAGCAGTTAAGCCCAGAAAGCTCTTGGGCACTTACCACACCCCAAAAATGCAGCTGTAGCAAACTACACCTTGCTACTAAAATGTTAACTAGGTATTTGTGTCATTATCTCTAATGATGTTCCTGTTTGCTTCTGAATTTAACAGCTGATAAGTATAAGGATTCTACCCCCGATGGTGCTAAGAATGCTGACAACACAGCAAAAAATGCAGAACCCCTGATTAATTTGGATGGTAAGTGTGCAGCAACCTACTCTGCTTGTGGATCATATGTGAATGTTTTCCATGGCCTGTTCTTCAGATTTTGATTGACTGTCATACTGTGATACTTAGGACTTTCAAAACCCCCTTTTAATCATAGAACCATAGAATGGTTTGGGTTGGAAGGGACCTTCAAGATCATCCAGTTTCAACCCCCTGCATGGGCAGGGACACCTCCCACCAGCCCAGGTTGCTCCAAGCCCCATCCAACCTGCCCTTCAACACTGCCAGGGATGGGGCAGCCACAGCTTCTCTGGGCAACCTGTTCCAAAAAAAACTTGAGGAGTGTGAGGGCTACAAACTCTTTACTGCTGGCTCTCACTGCCTCTCTGTGAATGGTGTTTGGAGAGCTAC